AGGGAGGCAGCAGCTCTGTCCTCGCTCCGCCCACCACCAGGGAGCCCCCACACCATGGGTGCAAAATTTAAGGGGCACCAAAAAACTCACTATGAGCAATTTTAATTTTTAATGCAATCATTTGTAAAAATCAAAGTTAATTCAAAGAATCTACAATGAACCAAATACCCAAATTTTGCCACAGGCTCCAAAACAGCTTTGCACAGCACTGCTCCTCCTCTTGTCTTTGTTTAAAACGTTAGTATTCTGCTCATTATGAGCTACTGTAAGTTTTTTAAAGAACCACGTTTACATATTATTTATCTTGCTCACCAAGCTCCTCATGGCCCTTATATCCTACTCCTGTGTCACAGTCTGCCCGTCCGTCCCTGTCACAGGTGTCCCCGTGTCACAGTGCCCCCGTGTCACAGGTGCCCCCCGTCACAGGTGCCATGTCACAGGTGCCCCCCATCACAGTGCCCCCCTGTCACAGTTCCCCACTGTCACAGTGCCCCCATGTCACAGTGCCCCCGTCTCAGGGGCCCCCCTGTCACAGGGCCCCCTGTCACAGGGCCCCCCTGTCACAGGTGCCCCCCTGTCACAGGTCCCCCCTGTCACAGGTGCCCCCATGTCACAGGTGCCCCCCTGGCAAAAGGCGTATTTCTTGGGAAGATCTGAATTGGTTGTACCCCACCTGTCTCTGTCCTTCACCCTTCTCCCAGGGAGGTGAAGAGAGACCTGGGTACATCCCACCCTCAGGTGCCCCCTGTCACAGGTGCCCCCCTGTCACAGGTGCCCCCCTGTCACAGGTGCCCCATGTCACAGGTGCCTCCCTGTCACAGGTGCCCCCATGTCACAGGTGCCCCCCCGTCACAGGTCCCCCCTGTCACAGGTGCCCCCCTGTCACAGGTGCGTGTGCTCAGTCTCCCACGGCAGCCAGCAGATGCTTTTACGTGGGGGACCACTGAGCATCACGGACACCATGGCTTTTCCCCACCCCACCGCCTACATCATCCCTAGGAAATGCCAGCTCAGCCACGGCAGCCATGTGGCACCAACCAGAGCAAGGTGCCCGCAGGCGATGAAGGACTAGCCACCAGATGGACAGGAAGAAGGAAGAATACCACACCGTTCAACAGGCGCCAGCGAGCAGCCAGGCTACGAGGAGGGTGAATCAATGACACACACGTGTGCACTTCTGGTAAAAGGTACAAGGACACTTGCTACACAGCCTATTGTATGTTAACTGCACAATGGTAGTTAGTAATTACAATAACATCAATCACTGGTATAACAATATCAAAACAGTGCCTACTTGCCCTAACCGGTTTGGCTCAGTGGATAGAGCGTCGGCCTGCGGACTCAAGGGTCCCAGGTTCGATTCTGGTCAAGGGCATGTACCTGGGTTGCAGGCACATCCCCAGTGGGAGATGTGCAGGAGGCAGGTGATCGATGTTTCTTACTCATCGATGTTTCTAACTCTCTATCGCTCTCCCTTCCTCTTTTAAAAAATCAATAAAATATATTTTAAAAAAAAACAACAGTGCCTACTGAAAGGTGCTCACAGAATTGCTGACGGCATCACAGTAACACACATGAAACTATTTAGGCCACAAACTGGAGTGGCCAACAGACCAGGGTGAGCCCTCTCCTGCAGACACCACCAGGGAGGGAGGGACAGTGAGGGGTGGCGAGGCTCCCAGAATAACAGGTTCCCCCGAAGCAGCTGGGAACAGGGTGCCTGGGTACTGTTTCTAGGATAGAAATCTGATCATGTCACTCCCCAGGTAAAATCCTTCAGGCGACCCCGATGGTTTTCAGGACAAATTCAACCTGCAGTTCAGCACCAAGGCCTCACTGGCCCGCCCCTGCTATTCGCAGTGACACCGCGGATCCAACTGCAGGCGATTCAGACTGCGGGTGGCGCTGCGAGGTGCTGTGAGAAACCATCCCGGGTCCACGTGCTTGCAAATGCATCCCGACACCAGGTTACGTTACAAAGGAGTGTGAGGTTGAAAATGGAAGACAAGCATGCAGGTAGCAATCATACAGGCATCACAGAAAAAACCATAAGAGAGTTCCTTATATATGTGATTTTTTTAAAAAGATTTTTTTATTGATTTTTAGAGAGGGAGAAAGAGAAAACATTGATTTGAGAGCAAAACATTGATTGGCTGCCTCCTGCACGCCCCCTACCGGGGACCAAGCCCCAACCCGGGTATATTCCCTGACCAGGAATCAAACCAGCAACCTTTTGGTGCAGGGGACAACACCCAACCAACTGAGCCACACTAGCCAGGGCAACATTATTTATTTTTAATGTTTTCCTCAGACCTTTCAACTTCTCCAACTAGAACAAGACACCCCCCAAGACCCCAAAACTCAGATGCTAAACCATGGCTTAAATAACAAGGACTCTTCCATACTTTTTCATAAACAGCCTTTTGCAAATCTACTTAAGCAGGAAACTTCAGTATCTGATTACTAACAGTGTTTTATGCATAGCTGCCCAATTCCAGAAAGAATCTAAAGGGATTCGAATATCATTCACATATTCAGTTAGAGTACCAGGGAAAGAGAATAGTTCAGAAAATGGGGGCATGGGGTTGCCCCAGTTGGCCTTGGGACCTCCAAGATGACCTTGAGATTTTATATTTAGAATCCAAGAAAGTTAGCACATTATATGTCCTACTTTCTCCATATTAGCCTGCAGGTGGCAGCAAATGATCACCATTATACTTTAAAGGTGTGGTTTCAATGGGAGGGAAATAATAGGAAATAGAGGACACGAAGGAGAACAGGATGGTGGATGCTGAGATCACCAGCACCGCAGACAGGTGTGACTTGGGAAAACTATTCGCCACCACAGTCACCACAGAGCGCAGGCTGCCCTCTCCGAGCGGGGCGGTCTGAGTGTTCCATCACTCACAGGCAGCATGTCTGTGAGGCGGGTCACCTGCCACTTGCAGGCGAGGCACCTGAAGCTCACAGAAGTTAACCTGCCCAGGGTCACATCTGCAAACACGGTGCAGTTAGGATGTGGGGCCTAGATGGTTTGATTCGAAAGCACACACTTCAAATCACTGATTTCCAAAATACATACAAATAAAGAGTCGGGGCTGAGAGGTCAGACTTGGGAAGCCACTAGAAGCAATAATAAAAAAGACCCTGCACACAGTACAAGCAGCTGGCACATGAGATCAAAAGCAACTGTTCCATCAGGTCCAAAAAGGCCATTCCCCACACCTGCGGATCCCAATGGGGCCTTAGAGCAGCGGTCGCCAAGGGCAGCCCATTGACCTCTGGTGGTCCATGAGGTCCGAAAGGTTGGTGGCCACTGCCTTAGCGGATTTTCTAGCTAATATTGCCCCGTTTCCCTACGCTCAGTGGGAGAGCAGTGTTTACTGTAGAGATGAAATCTGGCTTTGGGGAGAAAAGATATTAATTTCTCACTTGCAACATGAAAGTTGGGAAATGGAAACATTTTACTGTATATACCCATTACTCAAAACTATAATCAAAAAAATTCTTACTT